AGATCGAGTCTCTCTTCTATAATGATTAGATCCTAGTGCTCCATTTTCCATCGTTTCAATTTGCAGAGATCACGTCTGGTTCGTCCATGTCTGAGAAATCCGCCAAAATCTTCGTCGCTGGTCATCGCGGTTTAGTTGGATCTGCCATTGTCCGGAAGCTTGAGGAACTTGGTTTCACCAATCTCGTTCTTCGAACACACCACGAGCTTGATCTCACTCGTCAAGCCGATGTTGAATCTTTCTTTGCTCAAGAGAAACCAGTTTATGTAATCTTAGCAGCAGCTAAAGTTGGTGGGATTCATGCTAACAACACTTATCCTGCTGATTTCATCGGTGTTAATCTTCAGATCCAGACCAATGTGATCCACTCTGCTTACGAACACGGCGTGAAGAAGCTTCTCTTCCTTGGATCGTCTTGCATTTACCCCAAATTCGCTCCTCAGCCGATTCCTGAGTCTGCTTTGTTAACCGGGCCGCTTGAACCGACTAACGAGTGGTACGCCATTGCTAAGATCGCTGGGATCAAGACTTGCCAGGCTTACCGCATTCAGCACGGATGGGATGCAATCTCTGGGATGCCAACTAATCTCTATGGTCCAAATGACAACTTCCACCCGCAGAACTCGCACGTGCTTCCTGCTCTTATGAGGAGGTTTCACGAGGCGAAAGTGAATGGAGCGGAGGAAGTTGTTGTGTGGGGTACAGGAAGTCCGTTGAGGGAGTTCTTGCACGTCGATGATTTGGCTGATGCTTGTGTTTTCTTGTTGGGTCGATACAGCGGGTTGGAGCATGTTAACATTGGAAGTGGTCAAGAAGTGACGATCAAAGAGTTGGCTGAATTGGTGAAAGAAGTCGTCGGTTTTGAAGGGAAGCTCGGATGGGATTGCACTAAGCCCGATGGGACGCCGAGGAAACTGATGGACAGCTCGAAGCTCGCATCTTTGGGTTGGACACCGAAGGTTTCTCTCAGAGATGGTCTTCGTCAGACTTATGATTGGTATTTGGAGAATGTTTGTGCAGCCAACCAGTAATGGTAAATCAACTTGTCACCAAAATGTGATTTATCTTCTTTCTTTGAGATTCAAGAATTGCTTTTTATCTACATTGGGATGTTTTCTTGTCCCTGAGGAATTTACATTGTCCGAGATTAGACTGCATTTTGATGCATGATATTGAAAGTTTTTCATTTTTTTTTTGTCTGCCCACTAATTCTTTAGCTTTTGTGGTTGGTAAATGGTAAAACGGTATATAGCAGAATCAAAATAACTAAATAAAAAGAAATTTATGGATATCATAGTGGTTATATTATGAAAAATTCAGAACTATAACTAGTGAATCTGGGCCCAATGGGCAAGACAAAAGCCTTTGTAACGATAGCGTGAACAAAACGCACCGCGATTGAAACGCGGAAATAGAAACGCGTACAAACAGAGTCTGAATCCCTAAAGCCTAACCTTCGTGCTCGCTCACTCACTTCACTTCACGGCCCCGCTCAAGTTCAGACACGAAATTAATTTC